CAGCTAAATGGTGATCCGAAGTTATTTACTTGTTGATGCAAGGACAAATGAAACTAATTTAGGGTGTGGGTCTGGGTGTGATTTTGTGTCATTGCCATGTATAAACCTACACCAGCATTCACACCCTACAGCCACATCATGCCAACATAATTGTTTTTTCTTCCATGAGAATTCTTCCAAAGAACAATACGATTATAAAAGAAGTAGTGTATAAGTTATGAGCTGAGATCAAGGGACATCAATCTTAGCCTTCCAGTCAATTTATGAATGTTTTCTATCCATCTATTAACTGTTGTTGTCAAAAATAATTTGGTTGAGATAGAAGGAGGGGGGGGGGGTCTTATTATGACACAAAGACTATCTGCGATGATGACTTTTTTATGAAAAAAAAAACTTGTGCACTCCTATTTTTGAACCATGATATTATCATTTTCAACATACTAATAGGTAAGTCTAAATTCCAGTTTTATGAAGAGCCTCGTGCTTTACTCGATCATAAGCCTGTTGGCAGTCTACATAGATATATAGCTAAGACAGGTAGTTGACTGCAAAGCAATTTCTTACTTCTTGATGAGTTGATAAAGATGTGTGGCTATAAACGTGAATCAGGAAAAGAGACATAAAAATGCCCAGACCTAGACCATACCATTTTTGTCATTATTGGTTGTTTTCTGCAAATTTTGTCAATCACTCTATTTTATTATTGATATTGAGCAAAATTACATGACAAGTGGAAAATAATCGAGTAAGTTATTTAATGTGTTCATAAATTTGAAAAAGAAAAAAGTCAATGAAAGAATCTTCATTTATAATGAAGATTATGAATATAATAGTAATATTATAAATAATAAATAAAAATAGCCGTAATTTAGATGAACTTCATCTCTAGTTAACAATTTAGAATAAATAGATTCAGTAATAAATCTTTCTATATGAAGTCTATTATTATTCTCTCGTTTTAAAGATGATTGTGTAATATATATCTATATAAATTAAAAGGGTGCAAGAACGAATATAATTGAACATATCAAGAAAATTTATGTGAAATCATTCTGCATAAATGTTGTAGATATTTGCAAACTTGATTGATCATCAGTCGATGGTATTGGAAAGTTAGTATAATCACTATAAATAAATGCAAGGCATGTTATACAACTTGAGAAAGTAATTGGCTATTTCGAATGAAGTTGAATAACAGATGTTTTCTTTTTTATAATATGAATAGAAGTTTAGAAATAGGGTTCTAGCATAAATATGATTTTTCGTATTGATAGTGAAATCACTTGTTTACAAGTGATTATCGAGTATAAAATGAAAACAATCGACATCATTTTTTTATTGAAGACTATTCGAGATTGACTTTTTACACTATCAATCAAAATCTAAAATGATGAAACCGTTTGAAACAAATAGAATAGCACATGCTCATACTCATCTTGATTAAATTTATGTCGAAGTGCAGGTCATCGATAGAAGAAGTTAACAATAGACATGCATGAGAAAAGGACTAGAAAATCTTTCAGCCAAGGTATACAGTACGAAAAAGTTTCTGTGGCACATGTGTATTCTGATACGATTAGAGTTATTCAAATGTAGATTAGGATTCATATACAGTGATATGAAAACATCATTAGATAGACAATAAAATCTGTCGGATTCTAGTCGTCTGAAAAATAGATAGACCGCGTTAGTCATCCAACGAAAAGAAATAGACAAAATATATTGTATCTTCGAGGCAAGTATGCGATTTCGATGAGAGAATTTACCTTGTTCAAGGCACAATTTACAAAAAAAGTTTAATCTCCTCATGTTACTTTACCAATGACATTGATTATATTAATTAATATTTGCTGATATATTCACTGTATCCAGAATTATACAAAATATACTTCAGCATAAAATTCTGTCGATATACGGAATGATTTTTTTTCTGAGAATTTCTGACTTATCTAAGTAATGAAGGGGAACGCCGTTAAGTGATGAAATCGACTCCCTACCGAAATAGGGATTCTTATTTTTCAAATAGTCAATTAGGATTTTGGAAGTCGGTTTCCGTCTGATTTAGTTCGTTAGTACTCATTCCGGTTGCTCAGGGCTCAATAAAAACCTAGATAATATCTGTCCAACTTTTTTCCAGATTAGATGGTTCCTGGTATATGGCGAGACCAGAATCTTGGCCCACGAAATTTTCGGCCCGATTCTAAATTTCTGTAATTTTATGGGCCGACCCGAAATTCCTCTAGGACTTTCGACCCATGACCTCGTTGACCCCTAAAATAAAAGACTTAATTTTTTTTAATAAGTTGCTGGACATCGTAGTGCCGAGCAGAACGCTATAATGCTCAGCGATATGGCGTAGTGCTGAGGAAAACGTCATAATGGGTCTGCCAGTGGGGTGCGGATGTGGTGTGTGAGGGTGTCTGAGTCTTCTTTTAATTGATACGCACACTCATTATGACGTCCTGCTGGGCACTACAATGTCCAGCAACTAATTAAAAAAAATTAAGTTTATTATTTTAGGGGTCAACGAGGTCATGAACTGAAAGTCCAAGAGGAATTTCGGTGCTGCCCGAAAAATCACCGAAATTTCGGACCGGGCCCAAAGTCGTGGTCGAAAATTTCGTGGGCCGAAATTCATGTAACCCGACCTAGGATATTTGAAATTCGTCTACTTTTGACACCAAGCTCTGGATAGTAGCTTCTAAAATTGGCATTTCTTCATTCTGTTCAATTCTTTTTAGCATTTGTCAGCTTTCTTTGTTAATAAGACCCCACATTATGGCTAATTTATATATCAATCTAGAAGTAACAGATGAATAGTTATTTTAAAGAGCATTTTAAAGTGTACTTATTGTGTAAAAATAAAAGTTCTTACTGAAATAAGAAGGGAGAGTCAATACAGGAACTTCGTTTCTGAAATTTATATCTCTCTTGTTTTTTAAGCTAGAAGCTTATTTTTGCACAATAAATATCCTTTTAAAATGCCTATTTATAGTTGAAATTATTCCTAAGCGGCTACAAAGGTATATCGATTAGAAAATTTCTGAAAACTTTTTCCATATATGATCAAGGTCCGTATCAAATTCGGTATTCATTACAGATAGCAGTATCCCAGTGCAAAATATACTTAAGAAAATCAGGATTATTTTTTCTTACTGATTTACACATCTCATTTTTTTTACGAAACTCTCGCCTTTAGCAGAATGATTCGGTTAAAATTTACGATTGTTTTTAAAGTATTTTTCGTAATAGCATTTAGCTTTCAGAGTTTCATTTATATTCAAACTCGAATTAGGTAGCTCGTGAGATTTTGTATCAGATACATTTTTTCTATACTCGTACCTTTACGCAGACATCATCGATGCATGTATCACCATCGATTTTAATCTATTTTTTTCTTTTTGAATATTTAATATTTGTATAGGAAATACCATTGGAGTACATATCGAAAGAAGGTGCACACTTAGACAGACAAGCGTTTTGTAATGATATTCAGTAAATGATGTCTCCGTTTTTATAGAATAATTCAGCATGCACTCGATAGACTAAGAACGTAGACAGGAAGAGAAGATTCATTTTATGATTTAAATGAGAGCTCAATTCCTTCGTGCTGTTCGAGACATTCGATGAATAATATAATTTTAAGATCTGCTTTCTAAGTCAATGATTCCAGACTCTGGAAACAATCAAATTTCACACATAGAGCGACGGGAAAGAGGCGAGAAAAAAGCTTATATTCGGCAGAAAAATACCGGAAATCGATGAAACATGGAACCAGTATTCCGCATCGGAAGTCTTCGGAGTTTTTACCAATGATTTTTTACCATTTCCTGCCAAAACTGGCTCGTACTTCTTGACCTGAATCTATTCGAGATCTGAGAAGAATGAAGTATAAACTGGCATGGATTAAACATTTTATTCTATTATAAGTTTTCTTTATAGAACTCATATTCAGCAACAATTTTGTTTGAGATATCTTTTTTGCCTGGTTGGACAGAGCACGTCAAGTTGTCTGGAAAAAAGCTAGTTTTCCAACAGTTTTTATGAGAGATATTTGAAAGAAAAGTCAAATTTAACTAGAAAGCCGTTTTTGATAATAAATGAGAGAGTAGTTTTGTCATTTCTTTCGATGAAAGATTTTAAATGTTTTTGTCTGATTATTCACGCAATATTGATGTAGAAAAAAATAATTTTAAAAATTAGGTTTTTGTAAAACAATTTTCTATAGATAACTAGATCAAAGCTTTTAAAAGCTTCAATCGAAAGAAGAGCAAGAAATACTTATTGATTTATTATCTAAATTTGCTTTATTTCATATGTTTTTGAAAATCTTGCTTATAAAAAGTTGAAAAACTAGCTTTTCCAACGTAATTAAATATGCTCTATTGAAATGCGAAAAAAATGCACATGAACAAAACTTTGTGGAAACGTTTGTATTTCCGGTGCTTTGAATAAACATAAGATTGTATGACACTACTGATGCATAATGAATAAACGAAGCTTGTTAGCGAGATTCATATGAAAGCCCCTCATTTTAATTGCTCGTATTCTCTCATTCACTCGTGACTGTCTGTCGTCCTAGATAAATAAAATAAGAAAAAAACATCGAGATGAAAAACATTCATCAATTTTTTTTTTGCTTCAGTATTCTGAATCTAAAAAGAAATTTAATATACAACTTCTGACTACAGTATTACTGTTAACGTTGAATAGAAAAACATAATCGAAATGTCACTGGAACTACGTATAACAAAAATCATTTTCTTCCTTTTTTTACCTAATTTACTAAGAAGTATATCATAAGTTCTTTCATGATGAAAAAATACTGAAAGTGACTTAACTTTTACTGAATACAACAAAAACTGTCAATGGTTAGATACCTACTCCGTCTTACGGCTAAAAATATCTCTCTTATAAAGATAGAGGAAATGAGAGAAAACTTAGAAAAACAACGTATTAGTTTCTCTATGCACATCGTTAATATTCAATTCAAAACAACGATGTTGTTAAATATTGCTGTCACGTTTATTACTCTAATCAGCTCTAGTCTTACAATATTGATTGCTTTCATTTTATTTCTTATCTTGGTCATTCATCTACGACAAAAACACGAAGTTTCAGTTCTTCTTGTAGCAAATACATATGCAGCTATGATTGCATATTCTGTCGTGATTTTATCAGAAACTATTATTGTTCTTAAAGAAGATCTCTATGGTACCACTGATCTTACTGACCAACAATTAATTAAATGTCGATTTCTAGGTTTTCTTACTTATGAAACATTTGGTTGTTGTTATATGACTTTTGTTCTTCAAGCATTTTATCGGTTAACAAGAGTGGTTTATGGTAAATACAAATTTTTACAGGTATGCAGATTTCCATCTTGTTTTCATATATAGTTTTTAAACAATGCCTGTTATAATTATTTATATTGATGTTTAAGACATCTAAAATACTATGAATGAAATATATTGTATCTACTTTTCAATAAAACTATAGGCATTTTCATTTAATTCAATTTGTATTATATTTCAATGGATGGTTCATTTTCTTCTACTTCTTCCATCATACTTTTGGCCGGGACCGCTCTATACTTTATATGAATCAGATTATTACTGTGGTATTCGATATGAGAAAATTCTTGGACTTTCTTACACGGTTCTGAATATTTTCGTGTCTCCTATTATTTTACTAACCGTAATTTATGCTCGGTTTCTGTATTTTATTCGTAATAATGCTCCTCAATTGCCACAAGAACGACAACGAAGAAGGGCTCAACGTGATCTCATGATTACTCGTCGTATTTTATTTACAGTCATTGCTCTTACTTTACCGGGATCGTTGAATATTACTTTCGTTATCATGACAATTATTGATGTTCGTTTTTCAGGTTCGTTTTATATGTATAGGATTCAATGGATGGGTCCAGCAGTAACTTTATTCATACTCAGTATAGGAATCGTATTTATTAATTCACAAATCAAGCAAATACTTATAAAATTAAAATTTTGTGGAAATCAAGTAGTACCAATAGAAACAACAAGACAAGAACTACACCAACCTTCTGTTTTTCTACGAACACAAATTCAAACTTAAAATTGTAGTCTTTTTTCGTTTTATTTATAATAATAATGTATTGTTGATGAAAAAGACTTTGAAAAGATCTTAAGTCAAATATGATACTCGATTTATTTCAGAAGAACAAAATAGATAAAAGTATTTTTGATATGTTTTGATTATATCAAATGCTTAGAGTATTGTATAAGAACTGAAAAGTTTCGAGTTAATGTTGGATGACAATCAAAACGAATAAATGCAGTTAATCAAACATATCTCCTAAATTCAAGAGAATATGAATCTTTATTTTATCTAGCTAACGGTGTCTATTCATAACTGATAGAAAAAAAATATTTAGACTTGCTCAAGTGACCGATCCGTATCATTTACCAGACTATGATAATATTCTTTTTTTTTGTCTTTCTTTTTACATGTTGATCAAGAGATCTTATATGCAATAATAGACAAATGTTCTAAACTAAATTGTATTGAAGCAGTTTTTGATAATCAATAAACATGGTTTCTCAAAAGAAATGGCAATATGTGTTGAGCAGTTCCCACCAGGGCAATCGGATTTCTCACCAAAACTTTTCAAAATAGAAAATATAGTTAATATCTTGGTTCATTACCAGACATTTCTTTTTGATTCTTAAAGATTTGTTTTAAACCGAACGATCGTATATCGATATTTTTATGTTGATATCTTTGTGTGGAACAGGCGAAATTAACGTTTTTTGCATTTTATTGTCTATTAAAAGGTTTCAACAATATTGTAATTTACGTTAGAAAACTTATTAAACACACGCAAGTAATAATGAATAAAATCTTCTTGTTAATTTTTTTCTAAACTCTCTTTAAATAGTTTTGTTGCTTCAAATTATTTCTAGTTATAATAAGTTTTCGATGCTCCTATTCAATTATGCAAAGCTTGAGGCTGACTGTAAGATCTAAACGGTCAAAACTGTCCGTGTTTCCGTTCATCTATAGAAAAAATATCCTCTTTCAAGTTCTTTAAAATTTGAATCAAAGATTGTTACTTAGAACTATTTTCAACATTTCTTATCTTGCTTTTCATATTAGCAGCCGTATTTAGAGAAAACTAAAAAAAAAATAAGTTCTTGTGCAACTTATTCTTGAACTTGAAGAACATTTCAAAGACATATGAACTTAAAATCAAAACTATCTAAAAAAAACAATAACAACTGGAGCGATTAGGTCACATCTATGTGTACTTTTAGTCAGGGAATAAGAATCATCACTACTAGACAGTGACGTTGTTGTGCATGTCTTTGAAAGACTCTCGGAGTCGTTTAACGAATGGCTTACTTTGGTCGAGTTATTTACAAGTTAATGCATGACGCTATTCATTCAATAGCATACATCCTAGGCTATGATGCATACTTCCTATCGATAATCTCTCATAATGAGTAATGCAAATGCGTAGAAATTGCGTAGAATCTACTTGGAAAAAATTTTATGTGACACTCAAGTTCTGCTTAATCGACAGCAATAAAAGATGAATAGCCAATCTTGTAATTTATTAACGTGAGGAAAATTAGCAGTGTTGAAATTATGTTTAATTATTTTTATTCATTCAGTTGAAATAGATAAATAAAAAAACTTGTCAGTGCACACTCTCTAGTGCTAAAAAAATGAACTTTACCTGCGTTTTTTTATTTTCTTGCTTGACGCTCTCTGTTCTATTTGCCATGTTGCTATCCATTAGTTATTTATCTTTTCCGTATTTTGTTTTTCTTCATATAACAATGTTATTCTGATCATTGATTTAACTGATAAATAAATCTGTTGTACATAACTTTATCTATAGCATATCTCGATAATATCAGACACATTGATATTCAGTGCATCTATCATCTTTGACATCTTGAATATAAATTTTTATCAGTACACAAATCAGAAACTGCACAATTTAGAAAACTCAAAAATCTATTACAGTCATTCAAGTTTCGATGAAAGCTTTTTTTGCTTCGTTAAATAACTCTGCAAAAGGAGTGTGACATCTATTATCCTTCTTTACTATGGAGATATAACCAATAATCATTGACTTTTCAGCCGATTTTTTTGCTAGAAAAAGCATACTTGTTGGTCTCCCCATTTTGAATACTTTGCTTTGAGAAGAGATAGACGGAGAGAGCAGCAAAATCTCGACTTGAAATATAATGTTAGTTTCAGAATATCAAGAAATTACAGTGCAAACTTAAGAAGATTAGGACGACAAGACTAAAGCTACAATAACGTATTCCAATCAATCAACGAAGACTACTTCAAAGCAGTGACAAATAAAGACTCATCATGAAAATTGCTTAACTTTGCTAACAAAATTGCGCTTTTCAAGCCATTTTTGCTTAATCAATAAGAGTGCATTTTAATTTCGAATATAACCGGTTTTTCAAAGTTTTGAGAATGAAAATGCTCAGCGGGAGTTTCTCGATTAGTACATCCGACTTTCAATCAAAACTCAAGCTCATTCGATTCGAGAACAGCTTGAATGTGATACTGATTCTATAATTTTTCACAGAACTGTATATTCTAGAGGAGCCTGTGTATTAATAATTCAAACATAAAATATTGAAACAGACAGCAAATTTTGTTTAGCATCGAGTTTTGATAGTGTTATCGTAAAATGAATAGTTACTGAGAAGGTTTCCGCCGATTCCAATCAGAAATGCTAGATTACTACGTAGTTATTTCTCGTGAAGTTTTAAAAAGATTTCTTTCGTCGTGCACTTTAGTGTCAGATTTCGAAGATAAGGTCGGTTTTCGTTCACTTTAAATTCGGATAAAGTCAAGCCAAACCATTTCCGCTAGAAATTAGAGAATCAACAACTGTGTATCTCGAGTGTTTTTGTGACATAAGTCTTGTTTGTATTAAGACCGTGTCATAAAAGTTGGAAATTCTTATTGAATAGTTGATTAAGTTTCATACTTTCATTAATACTATTGTAATCATTTTCATTTAAGGCTTTTGTATATTGCTTTAATCGATTGTCTACGTCTTTTAAACGTATTAATTCATGATTAACCTTGCATTCTCTTCATTGTCATCCGTTGTATATTGTTTAATGTGAATATCCTTACTCTACCGGGTTTGCCAGATTCTATTTTCTTCGTCATAATGAATATCGATGTTTACGCACACAATGCATTTTGATTATTAGTCACTGTGCTTTCTCTAGATCGATTTATTGTAATATATCTAGTCAAAAGCAATGAAAACAAGAAATGCGAAGAAATTCCACTATTTATAATTTTTATGCGATCACTGACATTACGATTTGAATTTATTTATTTATTTGAATGTTTATTATTCATATAGAAAATACTATTGAAGTATAGTATCAAAAGAAACTGCGCAAATAGACAGACAAGTAATGTAAAATGATATTTTGTAAACCATGACTTCATTTTCATAAAATAATTCAACACGTACTTGATAAACGAATGACAACAATATAAATAATTGATTCATTTTATAATTTAAGTAGAAGCCCAATTCTCTAATACTTCTCGACGAATTAGATAAAACTATTTCTTACTGTGCAAGGTAAATAAGTTCTTGTGATATAATGTTGTTAAAATTACTTGAGTTTATCAAGAATCTTTCTTTCTCTACTTTTCTTGATGTGTTTTTTGACATGATATAATATGGTTTTGAGCACTTCTCTGTTCGAGATTTGAAAGAACTGCAGTAAAGATTGACATGGATTAAAACGTTTATTCTATTATACGTTTTCTTCATTCAACTCATATTCAATGACAAAAATTTCTAAAGGACATCAGATGTTGAGAAAAGCTAAATTTTCAACTTTTTCTAAAAAATGTTCCAAAAAAACATTTAAAGAAAAGGTCAATTTGTATATTTTTGATAAGATACCGATTTTCGACAGCAATTCCATATAATATTTTAAAGACTTTTGTCCAATTATCCATACAAAATTGATTTAGAAAAAAAAAACACTATTAAAAAATGGGCATCATAAAACGATTTTGTCTGGATAATCAGACAGAAGAGAAAAATTATTGATTAATCTCTTGCCAAAATGGCTTATTTATTAAGTTTGAAATTTAACCTTTCCTTCAGATGTACTTTCGATCGTTACATAAAAAAAGTTGGAAAATGAAATTTTCCAAAGCAACTTGTCGTGTTCTATCCAAAATGCGAAAAAATCTATATTACAAACAAATTTTGTGAAAGTTTGAATTTTCGCCCATTTACATTCACGTAGAATTGTATGAAACTACTACTGAATAATAAATAAATGAAGATTATTAACAAGATTTATATGAAATCCCATCATTTTAATTGCCAGTCTTTCTCGCATTCATTCGTGACTGCTATTCTAAACATATATATATATATATATGAAAAAGAAGTTGGCTATACCATCGCTGTCAACTTTGAATTGAAGAATATAATGAAAACTTGACTCGAACTGCGTATAAAAAAATAATTTTCTTGTCCTTTTCACCTGGTTTAATTAAAAAAAAAAGTTCGACATTCTTTGAGTATAAACAAAAAAAAACTGAATACGACTAGAGTTTTACAGTATAAGAAAATATCTGTTGTTAAACACTTACTCAGTCTATTGACTAAAAAAGGACATACTTCCATTTATGAAAGAATAAACGAGAGAATAGCTAGAAAAAAAATTATTATTTTCTTCCACACATCGTTAATATTCAATTCAAAATAACAATGTTGTCAAATATTACTTTTACATTTATTACTCTAATCAGCTCTAGTCTTACAATATTGATTGCTTTCATTTTATTTCTTATCTTGGTCATTCATCTACGACAAAAAAAAGATGTTGGAATTTTTCTTGTAACAAATACATATGCAGCTATGGTCGTATATTCTATCGTGATTTTATCAGAAACTATTATCGTTCTTAAAGCAGATCTCTATGGTACCACTGATCTTACCGACCAACAATTAATTAAATGTCGATTTCTAGGTTTTCTTACTTATGAAACATTTGGTTGTTGTTATATGACTTTTGTTCTTCAAGCATTTTATCGATTAACAAGAGTTGTTTATAGCAAATACAAATTTTTACAGGTATGTAAATTTTTCTTGCTTGTTTCATGCATAGTTTTCAAGCATACCACTTATAGTTAGTTACATTGAAGTTTAAGTAATCTAAAACAAAATCTATGAGTGAAATATATATATATATACAGGGTATAACAAAATTATAGCCCCCCTTTTGTCGTTGAGATTTTTTAATGAAGAGGAATAGTTAGATCAAATCTAAATAGTGATTTCGATAGTCCTTGAAGTTCTCTATCGAAAACAGTATAGATCAAAATTCCCAAAAAAAAACTTTCCTTAGAAAGTTTTACAAAAAACCGAAGTGCTCCAAAATCAAGTGCCTCTGGCACTTGAGAAAAACATTTGAAAATATAGTCATCCGAAAGCGCAAAAACTTCTGAGCAAAATGAGGGATCGCTCAGTTCTCCACGATGTTTTCCTATAAAGTTATAAGCAACAGAAAAGTGGAAAAAAAAGTGTTTTTAGGCTATTTTTAGCGTTTTTTTGATGAATTTTAAAGTTTTTTCACTTTTCTGATGCTTATAACTTTATAAGAAAACATCGTGGAGAACTGGGCGATCCCTCGTTTTGCTCAGAATTTTTTGCGCTTTCGGATGACTATATTTTGAAATGTTTTTCTCAAGTGCCAGAGGCACTTGATTTTGGAGCACTTCGGTTTTTTGTAAAACTTTCTAAGGAAAGTTTTTTTTTGGGGGTTTTGATCTATACTGTTTTCGATAGAGAACATCAAGGGCTATCGAAATCACTATTTAGATTTGATCTAACTATTCGTCTTCATTGAAAAATCTCAACGACAAAAGGGGGGCTATAATTTTGTTATACCCTGTATTGTATCTACTTTTCA